ATTATATTGTAAAATTTACTTTAAACATTTGAAGTATAAAAACAGTTTTGAATTCCCCTCTTTTCAACAACTGACTTACTGACAGCAAAATATTGTGAAAATTGTGGCAATTTCAAGTGACTATAATAGTTATTACTTGTTAAATTGTACATTCGTTATGATGAGTACATAGTGATTTACCTATTTTCACTTAGTCATTTTAAACCATTATATTTAAATATATTTGTGTGTGTTGCTGTATGTATGATATGTACACGTGTGTGCAAGTGGTATATAGGTATTTCTGGTGAATAAAAATTAGAACTCAGTACCACACACAGAGTAGGCAATCAATTTACCACTGAATTATATTCTAGGCTTAATTATAACAATATACAAAAAAGAAAAAAATAGGAAAAATTAAGAAATATACATGAGGTATGTATGATGGAATTGATATTCAATTACATTATATACATTTGGTTCCTTAACTGGACATGAGAAGATTATGATTTGAAGTGCTCCTGAATTATCTTGCTGAAGTAATTCATTGTGCCAGTCCCTAAGGATCAGGTCAGAATGGGAGTAAACTTTGTTCCCTTGGAGGATAAGCACTCGTGACCTTTACAATACATCTATAAATATTTGATATAGTTAAAATAATGAAGACAGGCTTGATCCAAATGTTTTGCCAAGAATACTTTCATGTACATGCTGATTTTAAAAGATGTTTCTGTATATTTGAGAACTAATTTTTTTATTTCAAGAAAGGATTATAAACCAATTTCTGCCAGTAGAAGATCCAATGCAGACCCTCCAGAAAGAGCTGTGTGTCTGTGGAGTACCTCTGCTCTCCACATTGTCAAAAACAGAAAGCAAGAGACGATGCCTTTAACACAGCTCACATTTCATAAATACAGAGAGCACATTCATCACCTGCAAATAAATAAGAATTATAAAAGAGAAAACTCTGAAAGTCATTTGGTGCTGCTCCCCTGACCCCCGACACCCACCAAGAATAAAAAGGTAAGATTTCAAGACCACTTTAATTGCTTTCTTACTCTGGCCTCTCATTCAAGATCAGGATTATCTTCATCTGATTCTGTTAACGTATGAGCCTATAATTCCAGAAAACTAGTGGATGAAAAAGATGTCAGTATTTCTAGATACTTTCTCTTATACTAGCTTGTGTGTAATTCTACTGTTTCTCAGGATCGATTCTGATCCAAAATGAAGGAGGCGATGGTGTGGTAACTTAAAGCTTGCAGACTTCCTCCTGGCAAGTCTAAGGTCAAAGCAAGAATAAGGATGCCCAATACCTCTATGCAATGGGTTTGCACTGATACTGAGGATACTTCATTCTAATACTGACTGCAATACTGCTGCCTGTCTAGCGTCTGTTCTCACCACTATTTACTATTTTTCTTTGTCCAAACCCTTTTAAATCCCAAAAGGACATGCTCATATTCATACACATATTTCCATCTTATCTCTTAATTGTGCTTCCTTCTTGGACTTTTTTCATTTCCAATGCTTCTTCTCATTATCCTCTGAATATTCTACCCCTCCATCATTCTCATTTCTCCAGTGTACATATGGAACGTTACTCTGATGGATCCATCTGACAGCCAGGACCTATCTTCTCACATTACAATTACGATGACTTCTTTTGTTATCTGCTTTTTGTTTCTTGAATTTATTCTTCTTCCACCAGGATGAGTGGAGAGTAGTAATTTACATAGTAATGGAGATGAAGTGAGAGAGAGAGAGAGAGAGACAGAGAGAGACAGACAGAGAGAGAAAGAGAGAGAGAGAGAGAGAGAGAGAGATCCCATTCAATACAAAGCCCTTGGTTTCTGTTCACAGATCTTCTCTGCTAACTTGCTGCACAACTCTGTGTCTCCCAGGATATTTCACTCTATACAAAGTAGAATCTCAGCTCTTTCCCAGCTCTTTCCCAGCTCTCTTTTCCGTCTCTCCCAGCTCTCTTTCCTAGGCCTTTCCCAAATATAAAAAGTGAAAAAAAAATAAAACAAAGAAGAATCTCAGACTAAACTGACCAAATCACAGTTAGAACAAAAATAAAAATAGGATTGGCTACAATATAATTTACCAGTGTAATTCTCTTAGGAAGTTATATGACTGAGAAAATCCAGGGTGATGGTATTTAAATTGTGTTCAGACCAGCATAAGATGAAGAATCCAGAAGTCCTTTTTTTTTTTTTTTATCAATGTAGAACACTGCTCTCTAGAATGTGAGGATTACAAATAAGGCTTCTAGGATAAAAAAAGTTATCAGGTAGTGTGAGATATAGAATATTCAATGAATAACATTATCCAGGTACACTTATGCTAGGAATGTCATGCCAAACATTGCTGGGGCAAGATTAAGCACAAATATTGAGAAGTAAGAAGTTATCCAAGGATCAGTGGCTCTGAAGACCATATCAACCATTGTGTTTTGAGGCCATATGCATCTATCAATCATTGTATTTTTTAAAATAGAAAGAGAGAGAGATGAGATGGAGATTCCAAATGTGAGAAGAGAGAAAACTTGAATGAGGGCTGCTCTCAATTTGGAGACAGTGAAACATCTCAGTAAAGGCTTGCAAAATGACACAAAGCATTGTTAGTCAGGCTCTAATGGCTCATGACTATCAGTCTAGTTGTTTGGGAGGCTGAGAAATGGGAGGCTCTATGGTGGAGGTTAGCCTAAGGAGAAGGCTCCTGAGTCCCTATCTCAAAATTAACCTGAATAGAACAAGGATGTAGGCTTGGCTCACCTGGCAGAGTGTCAGGTTCTGGGTTCAAAATCCAGTGCCAAGCCCTCTACTAAAAAGCAAAAAGCATATTTACATTGGCTGTTTGTAATATTACCATTTGTTATAGATCACATATATGTTCTGTGACCTAGGTTTCCTGTCATATCCACCATACTCATTTTTCCCTAAATTTTGTGAGACACTTTAGACCTTAGTATGTAAAAAGGATGGTACCCAAGGAATGACATCCCATGTGTTTGTAATATATAAGTAATGACATAAAAACTGTCAAAAGATGTTTGAGTCTGCTATCCCTCTCCAAGAGAAGTATACATGAGCACTTGTGATAAGAACTCAGTAGCAGGTCTGATAGCACTGATGGGATGTCTTAGGACTTGTCTGTATCTTGTTGATGCTACAAGTATTACCTCTTGTGTTTGCCACTGAGCTTCTCAACACTGGTAACAGAAGCACAGATACCTTCAGAGGGCCTGAATCTGGGACCTCGAATGAGATCGGGGTTTTTGATGATAATACAATCACAACAACTTTGTTCTCACAACTCATAACTTGGCATGACTTGCTCTTAATAATGCATAAATGTTCATAGAAATTTATATTATGTGTTATCCTTCTTGAGTTTACACTTTGATTACATATCCTGTCTTTCCATGACCTTTTCTGATTTAGGTCCCAATTTTTCCAAGGATTTCCACCATGTTTGGATATCTAGAGATTTTCTTTTTAAATCAATCCAGTAGGCTGAGGAAAAAAACAACTGTATCATTTCTTTTAAAACTTGATTTCATATCTCTAATCTTTTCTAATTTTCATGTCTCTGCATTTCATACTTTTTCATAGCAAAAGATTTATCTCATATTCTCATCCTAAACCTTATGAGCAGTCCTGATATTATTAATTATTAACCAAAATTTGCTCAAGATGTTATGAAATTTTATTCATTTTATTTTCTGCTTACTAAATTTATTTAATGCTGTAATTTCTACCACCACACAAAAAATATGTCCCAAAGTGCTAACAGAATTTTAAACAGTAAGCAAATGAATTTTATACTCTAATAAATTTTGACACCATATTATACACACATGAACAATTTAAAATAGTGTTTTTGAAATGGAAGGTTGCTCTAGAATAGTCAACACTAATAACAGTGAAAATAAGAGAAGCAATTATACATAATAGATGGCCATGTCTTATTCTGTCCTAAATACTAAAGCTGACAGTACTCTTGGCACAAAAATCAACTAAGTAAAATTAACTAAGAGTGAAATTAACTAAAGAAAATTTTTATTAAGAAAGGTTCTCCAACACTAGTGCTTACTATTATTAGAAACACATTTTTCTTCTAGAATGAGCAATACTTGAAACTTGCAGATATTTGCATGCAATTGTATATATAAATAGTTTTTCTTTTTTATTTATTGTTATTATGAAGGCTATCTACAGAGGTGTTACACTTACATAAATCAGGTAATGAGTAAATTTCTTTTTGAACTATGTCACCCCATATCTCTCTCTCCCAGTGTTTCCCTCCCATATCTACCCAGAAGTTGTTTGTTTCATTCTCAAAATACTGTCCAATGATTATCACTGCTGCACTTGTTCACCCTTTGTCCCTCCATTTCTGTGCCTCTCCTTATGCTCCCAATGACATATAAAGAAACAAACAAAATAGAAAGAAAAGAAAAAAAACAGCACAGAAGGAAAAGAAAAAAAACAATTGTTTCCATTATCTGGAGTTTATTTCTATACATACAGGAACTGAAAGCCAAAATGCCTATGCACATCTAATCATAAAAAATAATGTTTTTCTTTCAGATCACTCAGTCTAAGGTCAGACAAGCATGTGAACACCAGTTTTGATACATTAAGGCTAAGTTTTCACACAATTAGGTTTCCTAGAAAAGGAAAGACTAAGTTCTAAAGTTCTTAATCTAGGGATAAAACCAAACATCAGAAAAATATTTTTGCTTTTCTTTCTCTAAACTGTAAAAAGTCAATTAAGTCTAGTGAAAGTCTGATTCAACAGCTCATTCTCATAAGAACTAAACTATGTACAGTTTTCAAACTTAATTTTTTTGAATTTTTCCAAAGAAAAGCAGTGGAAGTGATAAGTTGCAGGACAGAACCAAGGAAATATGGCCAGTTCACCAGTCTTTCCAAGTTATCCTTTCTATTTTTCTCTCTGCAGATTACGCATTTAATACCTGAATTTTACCTACAGCCTCCAACAAGACCATGAATAATAGAAGTGTGACTGAATTCATTTTGTTTGGGTTGACACAGGATCCTGGAAAGCAGAAAGCCATATTTGGCATCTTCTTGATTCTTTACCTGATGACTCTGACTGGGAATTTTCTCATCGTGGTGACCATTAAAACCAGCCAGACACTGGGGACTCCCATGTACTTTTTCCTCTTCTACCTCTCCTTTGCTGATGCTTGCTTCTCCACAACCACAGCCCCCAGGTTGATTGTGGATTCCATTTCACAAAAGAAGAAAATTTCCTACAATGAGTGCATGACTCAAGTTTTTGCTGCCCATTTCTTTGGGTGCATGGAGATCTTTGTGCTCATCCTCATGGCCTTTGATCGTTATCTGGCCATATGCAAGCCTCTGAGATACACAACCATCATGAGCCAGCGTGTCTGTGGAATTTTAATAATGATGGCCTGGGTGGGATCTTGCATTCATTCTTTGGCACAGATTTTCCTGGCTTTGAGATTACCCTTCTGTGGCCCCAATGTAATCGATCACTATTTCTGTGACTTGCAGCCCTTATTGAAACTTGCCTGCATGGACACCTATGTGATCAATTTGCTAGTTGTTTCTAATAGTGGAGCTATATGCATGGTATGTTTTATGATCCTGCTGACTTCCTATGCTGTCATTTTATACTCTCTGAGAAACCACAGTGCCGAAGGAAGGCGCAAAGCCCTGTCCACTTGCACCTCTCACTTTATTGTGGTTGTCATATTTTTTGGTCCCTGCATATTTATATACACACGCCCACCAACTACCTTTCCAGTAGACAAGATGGTAGCTGTGTTTTACACAATTGGCACACCCTTGCTCAATCCTTTAATCTATACCCTGAGGAATGCAGAAGTGAAAAATGCCATGAAAAAACTATGGTGTAGCAAAGAATGACTTCAATGAAGGCTTCTCAAATAGTGTTTTTTTAATTGTGAGAATACTGTACAGAGGGGTTACAATTACATGGGCAAGATAATGAGTACATTTCTTATCAAGCATTGTAGTCTCCTCCTTTGTTTCTCCTTCCCATCCCTTTCCATCCTCCCCATCCTACCGCCACCCAATCCTCTCTTCCCCCTCCCCCCCACCAAAGTTGTGAAGTTCATTTTGGACATAACGACTTGTACATCTCATTGTTGCAATGGGTCCACCTGTATCCTTGTTTAAACGATTTGTTTTTACCCTTCTCCTCCACAAATTATACCAGCATCAAATACAGCTAAAGCAGGGGTTATACTATGGGGGAGGGACATACAAAGCAACAAAGAAATAATCTTATAACTGTGTTAGAAACAATCGCATGAAAGAAAAATACATTTGAATACATATCTTAGGGTTCATGTCCCTAACATCAACTTATCTGACCTTTTCTGCCTGACTCAGACATATACTAGTTATTGCAAATAAGGGAAACCATGGGACCTATGTTTCATCTATTTCCATCATCGATTACATATATTTATTTCTGAGTATTTACAGAATGATTGGTTAGGAATTACACCCCATTAGTTCTTACTTACTTTCCAGATTGTCTTTTGTATGTAATCCTAAGAATAAGCCATTGAACATTGACTGAAGCAAAGTCATTTATCATCCATGTAAAAATTGGAAAGGATGCATATAAAAAGGCTACTTTTAAATCTGCCTAATTCACTGGGGATATCTAAAATAATGCAAGACTGTGGCAAAATGTAAAATGTCAACAAAACTTGAAATTCCCAAGAAAACCGGCATCTTTTTCTGTAATCCTCTCTAATCCTGTCAATAAAGTAGAAAGGATGAGATTTTTGAGACAACACCAAGTAGTTTACTCTCTTGTAGCCTTTCATATTGTTTTTAACTCAGGAGTGGGAGAAGAACATGAGAGGTTTATGTAGAATATGTAGAGGAGAATGAAGATCACTGCAATATAAAGAGAATTTGGAAGAAAAATGATATTTAATGGCAAAAAGGAGCAAAAAGAAACTGAAAAAAATAATTTAGTTCTTTTCTCCATGTGATTATCTGCTGGAGAATCTGAAATGCTATCTTGACCTAGTACAAGTTAACTTCTCAGGTCAGCTCAGATGAATTGCTTACAGATTCTTTTCTCAGATGCTGTACTAATTTCAAAATCATATATGACCTGTATGACTTCATGTGTGTGTATGTGTATATGTGTGTGTACAGACACATTATTTCAGTCTTATTCTCTTCTCATCACCCTGCTTTTATAAGTCACATCATAGAGTTGTTCTTTATGTTTTGTAGATCTAGATTTTCTATTTTGAAGATTCTGTGTGACCTATGTCATATTTGTATATCCGACTTTAATTTCTCTCCCTCAAACTGGCAATTCATTCTTTTTCTCCACAGAATGTTTTTGTGCACCTCTGCTGAGAATCATTTGTATATAGAAGTATATATTTCTGTCTAAACTTTGCATCTGCTTTTATGCCAAACTCTGCTAGTTTACCTCTGCAAGAGTGTCAAATCCTATTCATTTTCTAGGAAACAAGTAATATCTTATTGGCTGCTTTTGTTTGTTTTACTGGGGTTTGAACTCAGGGACTCATGATTGTTCTACAGGAACTCTACCACTTGAGCCATACTGCCAGTCCAAATTGTGTCCTTCATGGCTAAGAAAAACTCCCTTATACATACCATATTTTGTTTATCCAATCCTCTCTTGTTTTGATATAAGCTGGTTTCACAATATAGCTATAATGAATAATGGTGAAGCAATATTCCTTCTTTAATGTTCAAAGAAAGTTGTTGATCATACCATTTTATGGGTTGTCAGCAGTGCTTGGTCCACATTCATGCAACATTCATTGTATCCAGTCACTACCAGCCCATCAGCTCCTCCTGACAATCATCAATTTTTACTTACGGATAAAAAGGGACAGCAAACATCAACCTTGTATTTGCCTATTTCAGTAGTTCTTGCAAGCTACTGTTTGCGGTCAGTGGGTTCCTGATGCCTCCAAGCAAGCTTTGTACCACCACAACATGTTCCACTTTTGTAGATGATGTCCATATTTTATTTCTGTTCACTAATTACTCAGTGTAGAGATACCACCAACATTGTTGAAATCCTTTTTTGAAATTAGTAAATATCTTATTTAATTTAAATAGTGATATTTAAAAAAAAAACAAGTTCCTGTGCTCACGGACTTTATGTATTAAAAATTTGGACACACAGGGGAAGATAATGTATGGCATAATGAAAAATTGAATGGGAATGATTTGTGGACATCTCCATTGAAATGTCTGGTGAGTAATGCTAATGAGGATATAAGTTGAAAAGGAACACATGCAGGGGTTTAGAGCTAGTCCAGTGGTAGAGCATGGGCTCATAGGTAAGAACACAAACCACTGAGCTCAGGCCCTAATCCGGAGGAAAAGAGATGGAAGGGGGAAGGTGAAAGGATGGGTGATGGAATGACTATGATATGTATGTTCAGGTACATGTGCATCCTCTTGAGAATGTATCTGAAGGAATGTAAATCAACATATGGGAGAGATACCTAAACAACCATGTTTACTGCAGTGCTAGTTAGAATATCAAGACTGTTGAATCAGCCTTGGTGTCCAGCAACCAATGGATGAAAAAAGGAAGGAGGGAGAAAAAAATGAAAGAAGAAACAAAGAGAGTGAGTGAGAGAGGAGGAAAGGAGGAAGAAAGGAAAGGAGAGAAGGAGAGTCATATTTCTAACCAATAAATCTTTACAGATTACACATGAAAATATTCAAGAGACACTCATTTGTTGCTCTGTCTGGACAATATTAATTCTCCTTTGGGATGGAAACAAACTTAGTTTTTCTATTTATGAACTGCTAAGGCATTATATTACAATTCTGGAAAGGGATAATATAATTCTTCTACCATATACAGAATATTTGGTTCCTAATCAGAAAAGAAAATGGAAATCCCAGAGAAGTTTGAACATGGAACCCAACAGAATACATATAAATAAACAAGACTCTCTCAATTCTTTAGGGACATAAAAGTTTTGCCAACCTTCGAGAAAGTCAAACATAGAGACTCAAAAAAATTTTTTAAGTCCTAGAGAATCACATAGATGGAGAATTTCCAATCCTTGGGGATGGGGTGCAGTGATTCTACAGGTCCATGGTTTCCCACAGAAATAAATTCCAGTTGAATGCCCTACACCCTAGAACAAAGCACTTGCTAACTAATGGAAGAATCAGTTACCTGCTCTGCCAAAGATGTTCTTCTTCCTGTTTCTTGGAGTTAGGAGGAAGGGTGGGACACAGTTGGCATGTCTGGCTACCACTGAGTGGAACTGAGAATAGATTGCCTTCTCAAGAACTTCAAATGAATTGAAAAATGGTGAGACTGATAATTGTCCTGTATTCATTTTCTTAGAGCATTTAAAATTGTGACTTAGTCATTGAATGTATGGATGCTGTGTTAAGTGTAATGCCAGGAAAGTGGCTATGAATAAATTTGTACACTTGAATAAATTTCAGAGTCTTCCTGATTTTAGACTCCTCTTTAAGGGAGTTATAAGATTAACATGTTCAAATTATATAGAAAGAGATAAAGAGACACCTGTGGAGCCTACATATATGACAAATGCTAAGTAGAGAGCAGTTACTAGAACAGAATGCAAATATTTTATTGTTATTTTAAAAGGAACCCAACTACTTCAAGTCTAAAGAAGTAATATCTATGTTTGGCTCCTTCATGTCCACTTTATCAAATAAATAAGAAATACATTAAATTTACCACATTTACCACAGCAGTAGAGTTTTATTTATTCTTCTTAAAATATTCCCACATGTTGCATAAAACATAGGATATGGCAGAGGTGTATAAAGGATGCTGTCACAGGAACATGGAACTTGAAAGGCTGCTATGTCCTTTAAAGGTATTAATTGAATGTAAAAATTTGCCACCCCAACCAAGCACTAAGAAATGCCACAGGAAGGACACTAAAGACAAGAAAGTGTCCACCTCACACAAGTGGGTGTGCTGGCTTTAATCATATCCATTTGATTTTCCATATGTGAAAGATAAATAGCAAACTTTCCTATCTCACAGTTGTTCAGTAATTTTAAATGACTGAACTTCTGAAACACTTATGTTTGTCAACATGTTATTTTCTATCTCCTCAATCAGCTAAAAAATCAAGATAGCAGAAGAATAGAAGGCTCAGAAATCCATCTGGAAAGACAAAGAGAAAATGTTGACTCAGTTTTAAATTTCTAGAAGTAATAAGACTTTTAAAATGGAGACATTAGAGAAATAGACAGACAATATAGGGAGGGGTTGAGATCTGAAAATGTTTTCATATTTCCAGGGAATCAGGGGTAGACTATGCTTTAGTTATATAGACAATAAAGAAATAATGTTCTGCTAACATATTTCAATTGAAAGATACTGTGTGTTTTTTGTTTCCATACATGTATTTATTATATAGTGTTTAAATCAGGCTAACATGCTTCCTTTTTCTTTTCTTTTATTTCATTTTTCTATTATATATGCATATATTTCTATTTCTGTATATCTTTATTTTCTTTAAGTAGTTGTACAAATGACGGCATTTAGCAGAGCAGTTTTTCGATATAGTATGTCTTGATCATTATCACCAATATCAACATTTTCACCCAACCCTCCCTTTCCCACACCTTCCCCAACTCTTCTTAATTTTGTAGTTGCTTGAGGAGATAGACAAAGCCATGAGGACAAACACAAGTGTTCCGGAAGTTCAGTCATTTAAAATTACTGAACAAATGTGAGATAGGAAAGTTTGCTATTTATCATTCATATGGGGAAAATCATATGGATATGACTCAAGTTAGCACACCCCTTGTTGAAGTGGATACTTTCTTGCCACACTTCCATGTGGCATTTCTTAGTGCCTGGTTGGGGTGGCAAATTTTACATTCTTTTAGTACCTTAAAGGACATAGCAGCATATCATCTTACCATGTTCCTGTGACTACATTCTTTATACACCTCTGCCATATCCTATGCAACATGTGAGAATATTTTAAGAAGACTAAAGAGAAGTGTACTGCTATGATAAATATGTACATCTAATATATTTCTAATTTATTTGGATAGTATGGACATGAAAAAGCCAAACATAGGTTGTCACTACATCTTTATTCTCCTGACCTAAATTCTTTCAGTTTGATCATGAAATATCTTCACCTCCCTTGCTCTGTAACTAAAATATGCCCTGGCGAGTTACAGTGGTAGAATTTTAATCCTCTATGGTTGTGGAAAGATAGACATTTCAATAAACAAGGTTATTTTTGAGTATATCTCCTCTTGACATTAAATTTAAATTAACTGTGTATAAATAGAAAGAATCATTACAAGTATTTTCTTGCTTTTATTTAATGTCATTAAAAAATCAACCTGAATGTTGTATGGTTAATTGTAATTACTCATAGAAGAATGCGCTGTCAGTTTGTAATATTCTTTTTACATATCATCTTCCTGCCATTAATTATACCAAAAAATGACATTTATGTGGGACCATCGATTATTAAAGCTCCCTGCATCAATTTACTGTTAGAAAAATTTCTGGATATAAACCAGTCTATCATTCTGAAAATATTTTCTAATCCTTTTTCCACCTGAATATGTAAGAGTCATTTCATCATTATAATTTTAGGAATGAGTATAGTTTTTTAAAATAGTTGTATATATTAAATGAAAATATTTTTTTATATTTCTTGAATTAACCTCTACTAAAACCATGAACAAATTATTCTTTTGAGTGATTCAATTGTCTTGCTCATTGAATGTGGGTAGGTGCACCTTATAAACAACGTTGATAGCCCTGATTTATACATTGCAAAGCACACTTGTAATGCTTTTTATTGACTCTTAAGATTAAGGAAGCTTAAATTAGTGTGATGGGGCAGAAGCCTGTGGCATACTGATTTGTTGAATGACACAGGACACTTCACTATTGATAGGTTTTTGACAAACTTCAGACAGCTGTTCCTGTTTCATTAACTGTTTCAAAGTAATTTTTAATCGTTAGAAAAGTTGCCAAAAAATAACAGTTACTAGGTACTCATCATCTCATATTATCATTTAATATTACCATGAACTTGTTTGTCAAAACTGTGTAGTAACCATTGATAAATTCTTAACTAACAAATAGCTTTGGGCCATGTGTAAACAATGTTTTTGCTGTTGTGCTTGTCATTACTGTTGTGAATTCAGGACGGTTCATTGTATTAAGACAGCTGCTCTTCACAGGATTCGATGTATTAAACTGTGTCCTCACTCACCACTAGGTCACTGAACTCTGCATCATTAAAGATTTCAAACCAACTTTGAAATTATTTTTACCTAAAAAATGACATTTTGTATCATTAAGGATATTTAACACTGTTATCATACTCTTACAAATTGGCTAAGTAAAGCAATAAATGCTCTTACAATAAATCAGCTATAATATTGAAAAAGAACCTCAACCTTTTCCCCCACATTAAACCGATTGGTTTTATAAGCAAGCTAATTGAAAACAATAGTTCATGAATTTAAAGGGTATGAGGAACACAGACTTTTCTTAAAGGATTATCAATGAAGTGGCAGTTATGAACATTTTTCATCAGTTATTTTAGGCCAGATAAAACCAAAAGAGCTTGGAATTAAGCTCGCCTGTATGAAGCTGGAGGCAACAGTTTTATTCATTGCTCTTCTTTGTCTTTCCTGCTTTATCTTTAGGCTAAACTATCTACTGCTGGATTATATAGCAAAATTTTGGTATTATTTTTAAATAAATTGTTATGGTTTCCTAAAATGACACATTGGGGTCTGCTTTGTATTCTTGTTTACTTGGTAAGAGTTTTGAATGGGATACAAAATTTATAACCCTGGACCAATTTTAAGAATACCTAAATTGATGAAAATGGTCGATTCAAAACAAGGAAAATGATAACCTCATATACTAAATCATAAGCTTTCTAATTTCACTGAGAGTTTTAAATCATTTTGGTAAAGTCAAGGTACTATTCAAAGCCCACTTACTTTTACCTCTGACAAATATGTCCCTTACTCTTTTATTTACCTGCTTAGCAGAAACACATGTATATGGATATATACACACTGTATTAGACATATTACTATGCTTATTGTCTAAGACGTACAAATAAGGAAACAATTATTCATCAAAGTAATGTCTACTTATAGGAGAAATCTTCTAGAGGAAACAGTGATTCATCTTTTGGTTCTATGACATTTTTTTTTTGTTTCCATCATCAAGATGCCTAAGAAATCATATATACTCTCTTACAGGTACAAAGGACACAGTGACACTGAAGTCCCTGCTGGAAAGGACACCTTCCTGTCTCCTTCCCTCTTGATCTGGTAGGGCACAGAGGTTTCATGTTAAAGGGGAGAAGGAATGGATTCCAGCCTGTACAAGAAAACTGTTCTGCAGGTTCAAATTCTTTTCTTGTGAATTACTATATTTACTCATCAGGAAACATTTGGAAACTGCAATTCTCTTCTATAAGGAAATAATTTGTGCAGTGAATTTCCCATTTTGGTTCAGAGATTTAGAGAAATGCTTGAGAGGAGGTCGTGATTTGTATGTGAATCTTAATTACATGTCATTTTTTCTTCTCTTTGCAGGTAAAAAGTCTCCTGATCAGGAATAGAATTCAAGTCACTGATTTTAATTCCTTGACAATCACAAGCATGATTAAGAAGATATAATCCTGCTTCCAAACTGCAATGTGTCACAGAAAGCCAGGAAGCTACTGCTGATTATTCAAAGCAGGCTCATGAGATAAAAGCGATCAAAAGTATTATATTTTAGCTATGGTAAATAACGCTGCAATAAACATAGTTGTGCTGGTAGTTTTAATATGGTCTTGTTTATGATCATTTGGGTAAATGCCCAAAAGTGGGATTGCTGGGTCATTGGGGAGCTCTATGTGGAGTCTTTAGAGGAACCTCCATACTGCTTTCCAAAGTGGTTGAACAAGTTTACCATCAATGTAGTAGGGTTCCCTTCTGTCTACATCCCCTCCAGCATCTGTTGTTGTTAGAGTTTTTGATTATAGCCATTCTAACTGGGTTGAGGTGGAATCTCCATGTTGTTTTGATTTGCATTTCTTTTATGGCTATAGAGGTTGAGCATTTCTTCATGTGTCTATTGGCCATTCTTATTTCCTCTTCAGAGAAGTTTCTCTTCAAGTCTTTAGCCCACTTATTTATCGAATAGTTGTTTCTTTGAGGATTTGTTGTTGGGAGATTTGATTTTTTCGAGTTACAAGTATATGTTAGATATGAGACCCCTGTCCATTGTATGGCTAGTGAAGATCTTCTCCCAATCTGTGGGTTTTCTATTGATCTTGTTTTGGAGAATTCATATTTTAAATTCCCAATAATTCAATCCAGGAAGCCACTACTGACTAAAAAGTTGGCCCTTGAGAAAAAAATTGATTTGAAAATATTTTTAAAGAATTCATATTTTCAAGTATTGAACAATTCATTGTACTTGAATACCTCCTATCTTCAATTTTATGTTCAGTCAGTAATGATATAAACATGATGATTGTACATGGTGTGAAACCAACTTGTTGACAATCACTATATAGTAAATTAGCCAGAAGTACTCTTTTCATTCTTGGAATTATGATTCCATGTGTTTCTTTCTTTTAGAGCTTTCATCTTTTCCTGAGAAGCCATGCAAAACTGGAGCACTGTAACTGAATTTGTTCTTCTGGGGCTTTCACAGAATCCCAAACTTCAGGAAGTCATATTTGTTGTGTTTTTGGTCGTCTATATCTCCACTATCGGGGGTAACATGCTCATTGTGGTGACCATTGTCTGCAGCCCTGTACTACGGAGCTCCCCGATGTACTTCTTCCTGACCTTCCTGTCCTTCCTGGATGCATGCTTCTCCTCTGTGATTGTCCCAAAGGCCATGTCAGATGCCCTGGTGGAGAGAAAGACCATCTCCTTTGAAGGCTGCATGATACAGGTCTTTGCTGAGCACTTCCTCGCTGGCACAGAAGTCATTGTCCTCACCGCCATGGCCTATGACCGCTATGTGGCCATTTGCAAACCATTGCACTACTCTTCCATCATGAACTGGAGGCTCTGTGGCATTCTGGTGGGCATGGCATGGGCAGGGGGTTTCTTGCATTCCATTGGGCAAGTTCTCTTTGCTTCCCAGCTGCCCTTCTGTGGCTCCAATGTCATCGATCACATCATGTGTGACTTGCACCCTTTACTGAACATTGTATGCACAGACACACACATCTTTCGGCTTTTCGTGATTGCCAACAGTGGCTCTATCTGCACTATCATCTTCACCTTGTTGTTGGTTTCCTACGGGGTCATTTTGTTCTCTCTGAGAAATCACAGTTCTGAAGGACGGAGGAAGGCCTTTTCCACCTGTGGGTCCCACATAGCAGTGGTGGTTTTGTTCTTTGTCCCGTGTATTTTTATGTATGCCAGACCTCCGTCTGCCTTCTCCTCTGATAAAATCATGGCAATATTTTGCAGCATGCTTACCCCTTTGCTCAACCCTTTGATTTATACACTTAGGAATAAAGACATGAAAAATGCTATGAGAAAAGTCTTGAGGAGATTGGTGGTATTTGCTGATGATAAATAAAGTAATCAACTGATTAAATATTAAAACTTACTTACACAAATACTTAGTTACACAAATGCTCCAGGGTAATGAATGTTGCATGCTGGGAGGCAACACAATGCAATAGTAAAAGAATTGATGTTAGGAACAGGTAATGATTTCATATTCACTTTACTCATTGACTCTAATTTGTCAAATGACTACCCTTTTGTACAAATGAGGAAATAAAAAGAAATAATGAAATGATTAGTTATCTACAAAATGTTTGATTCACTCCATGCATCGAAAAACCTTTGTGATAAGTGGGGAAATATTTTAAGGGCTTAGAAAATGAAATATAAAATATTTCAGGTCGAAAAAAGATACATAGGCCACTAACTTTAGTGAATGACAAAGAAACAACTAAGATCCAAAAAAGAGCGCAAAGAATTACACGTCCCAAAACTATAAGTATTGCTGTGCAAGATCACTCCATTTGATGAGTACATTACTATCTATTACAGAATTTTTGCTACTTCTTCTAGTTTGAGATATATAATCAAAATTTTTGCAGACCTGTCCATGCAAAAAATCTTCTTGGCTTAGTAGATTGCATCCTATCAGTCAGGCACTAGACAGAGAGAGGAGACAGATTCCACAAGGGAGGTAGCACTGAATATCTCTATTCTACACAATAAAGAATAAACATTTGTATGTCCATATACATAAAAAAGACATAAGCAAAGCAGAGGGTATAACTTCTTCCTCAAAGATGAGAACAGAAGTCATCTGACAATGAAAAATAACTTGAAAGAATTTGTTTCAATTTAAATAATAATTTGCTATCTTACCATACTAAAATAATTCTATTTGTAAAATAATCAGTACATAGTTTATTCAAATATAAACACTGCTTCATCTATAACCATTTACTAAATGTAAAATATGCTTCATTGTGAAATTTTCAAATATGTATTTCATGTTCTTTGACTATTTTTACTCCCACTTTTTTTTTTTTTGCCCCTCTGTCTACCCTACTGCTCACCTCCTTCCAAAACTTTCTACTTGTACTGTTACAACTTTTGGTGACTCTAGATTCATCTATGACAGATGACATCAGAGTGAACTGTCAATACTTTTCAGCATAAACTCTTGATTTTATCTGAGTTTTTTGACACTCTCTTCACTAGAAATGCCACCACAGATACATATTTTGCTGTATTTTATTAATCGCCTAGACATTTTTCAATGCAATTAAATTTGCATCAAACCATATATTTAAGTATTTAAGAAAATTTTCACCAGTATGCTTTCTAGGGCATAACATTTTGATAGTAAAATTTGGAAGATTTACCTAATGTTCACTTTTATTTTTATGTTTGCAATATTTTGATTTTTGTATAGTTTTTATTTTTTATTGTTATTGTAGAGATAATATACAGAGCGTATGAATCAGGTAATGAGTATAATTGATTTTGAGTCATATCTCCCCAGTTATTATAATATTTCATCAACTATTCTATATGAAGCATCCTCCAAAACATAATTATACCTGCTTATGTTGGTACATGTTTGTACAAGTACTAGAGAGTGCAAACAAAGAGGATTGAGAGCTAGCCTACTGTGAGAACTCCTGTTTCTAAATGACAACAACAATAAAAAACACTGTAAATTTCTCTTTCAATGGAATTTTTCAATTGAATCTATTGCCTATTTTCTTATTCTTTTAGGATAATATGGCTTACCTGGAAAAACCCAGTAGGTGCCAAAATTAAGCAAAATAAAAGCCTATCCCCTCACAAGTACTCAATGTAGACATGAAAACAAATGAAAATCTGCTGGTAATTGTACAAAAATGCTCACATATCTTTGGTCATTGTTACTAAGCCAATGAAGATTTTGGAGAAATCAATAATACTCTGAAGTGGAAGACTCAGAAGTTATCATGGAAAATGTGAGTAGGAAAATAATTTAATCTCTTAATGTAGAACCAAAAGTTAAAGACTAACAATCTCCTGAGCAGAATAAAGGTGAATTTTCAAACAGAAAGAAGCAAGAGCTGCATAGCACAAATGAATCTTAAAAAAAAAAAAGAATAAAACTCAATATGACTGTTCCTAGTGAAGGAGATAACGAGGGATTTACAATTCTCCCCTTCTTCTAATTTTTAACCTTTGGGTTCCATGTCAATACTTTAATACTCATGATTGATTAAATGTGCATCTTTGAAATGTTTTAGGGATTCTTTTAAATGTTGATACAATACAATATTTTGTTGTTGACTTTTTACTTTAACCATATTATTGTCATTTACAAGCAGTTAATTCCAAAATCGAATTCTGTATCACTACCTTGAAGTTCATATTTCAAAGTAAATCATGCTGTCTCCAGTACATTGTCCCACATCTGCCTGAACAAGAAGCTGTCCTCAGTGTCTGACTATGAACTCTCAGGTTCTCAACTGAAATATCCTTGCTTAGAAATTAGAAATATCTTTCAATACTACCTGTCTAATTTCCCCAGATGTGTAATTAAGGCTGGTCTAAACTGAATGAATGGAAACAATAGTTATGCAGTGAAACAATCATTTAACTTGTTTGCTCAAGATACTTGGTAATGTTGCATGATTTCCATGAATAAGTTTCTATTATATGAAATGAAGTTTTAATAGCTGCAATATGAAACAGTTATGTGGACTAAAAAATAAAACTTGCAAAGTGATTAACACAGAGACTTTCATATGAAGAATATTCAATATATAGATACAGAAGTGCAGTTGTAATATCACACTCTTTGATGACTATGTTTTTACTAACAAAAATTAATAAAACAAAAGCAAATAAATTTGCCACAAGTGTGTTTCAGTGCTCCCTCCACATATTAAACCTCAACACTTTTATTAAAATCCCTGTTTTTTTTCTTTAATGGTGTTTGTGGGATATGAATTCATAGTCTCATGCTTGCTATGCAGACACCCTACACCTGAGCCATACCTCGAGCCCCTTTTTCTTGAATTACTTATGAGATAGGGTCTCATTTAGACTATAACTTCGATGGTTGAATAGACTACTATATATTAGAGTGCAGCAGTATTTAATCTTGGCATGTATCCAAAAATTGTATCAAATGTAACTTGCAATTGCATCTGAATCGTCATTTGAAAATCTAAATAATTCCCACATAACTTACATCAAGCACAACAATGAGGAGGCTGAGATATATGAGTCCAAGACACTACCTGAGACAGTGTATCACTGACCCTTCATAGTGCCTTTAAATGTTACCCCAAACTCAAGTGCAATAACTTCATGACTCATCACTGTCTTAAAGTAATAAAGAATAAAATGATCCTGTTGGAATGACTAAGAGATATCATGATGGTTTCTTTGACCTTTAAGATGATTGCCCCAAATCACACAATGCAAAGAAAATATGTTCTATGAGAAAATATATGATGAATTTTCTCTAGTCCAATGCCAAATAGAATAGGTAATTATACAGATGAATATGGTTTTCAAAATATATCTACTTTGCATTTCCAATTATTATCTTTTATTATGTGCATGTTATATTTTAAAATGTGCATTAAAAATTGAAATGTAAAAAGTTTTGAATTCCCCTCTTTCAACAACTGACTTACTGCAAACAAAACGTTGTGAAAATTGTAGAGATTTTAAGTGATTATAATGGTTATTACCTGTTAAATTGTATTGTCATTATGATGAGTACATAGTTATTTACCCATTTTCACTCAGTCATTTTAAACTATTATATGTAAATATATTTGTGTACATTGCCGCATGTATGATGTATATATGTGTTTGTGATGTGGTATTTGTGTGATATCTGATGAATAATTTAGAACACAGTACCACACACAGAGTAGGCAAGCACTCTACCACTGAATCATATTCCAGTAAAAGAAAAAGAAAACTAGGAGAAATTAAGATATACACATGAAGTCCCTGAAGCACATATAATGGAATTAATATTCAATTACATTATATCCATTTGATTCTTTAACTGGACATATGCAGATTATGATTTGAAGTGGTTCTGAATTAACTTGCTGAAGCAGTTCTTTTGCCAATCCCTAAGTGTCAGAATGGGAGTGAACTTCATCCCCTTGGAGAATAAGTACTCATGACCTTTATGACACATCTATAAATATTTGATGTAGTTTAAAAAAATGAAGACAGGTTTGATTTGAATGTTTTGCCAAGAATACTGTCATGTAGAAGCTGATTTTAAAAGATGTGCCTGTACAGCCGAGAACTGATTGTTTTTAGTTCAACAAATGGGAATAAACCAATTTCTGTCAGTATTTCAGACCTTATGGAAGAGGAGCCAATGCAGACCCGCCAGAAAGAGCTGTGTGTCTGTAGAGCATCTCCTCTCTCCATAGCTTCAGAAACAGAAAGCAAGAGATGATTCCTTTACTACAGCTTACATCTCACAGAGAGAGCATGTTCATCATCCACAAATAAATAAGAATTATAAAAGAGAAAACTCTGAAAGTCATTTGGTGCTGCCTCCCCTCCCCTGACATACACCAAGAATAAAAAGGTAAGATTTCAAGTCCAATTGAATTGCTTTCTTACCTTTGCCTCTCATTCAGGATCATTTGATTCTGTCAACTTGTAAGTCTATAATTCCAGAGAACTAGTGTCCCCATAGATGAAAAAGATTTCAGTATTTCTAGATTCTTCCTTGCACCAGACTGTTTGTGACTGTGCAGTTTCTCAGGATCAATTCTGATCCAAAATGAAGGAGGCGATGGTGTAGTAACTTAAAGCTTGCAGACTTTCTCCTGTCAAGTCTAAGGTCAAGACAGAAATAGAGAGGCTCAATACCTTTGTGCAATGGGTTTGCACTGATACTGAGGATACTTAGTCCTGAGACTGAACACGCTATTGTTACCTGTCTAGGATCTGTTCTCACCACTACTTACTATTTTCCCTTGTCAAAACCCTTTTTAACTCCCCAAAGGAAATGCTCATACTTATATCTCTCTCTCTATATATATATATATATATACATAT